GGACTTATAGCTCCACCCCCCCATTAAGGGAATCCACCTGTGGGATGCCATTTTGGTGGAAAGGGGTGGAGAGGGAGGACTTTGGGGAGAATTGTGTGACCGGACCTGCAAGGGGATATAAGAAGTGGTGGGTCATGTGAGGGAGATGGCCTTTAAGAAGATCAAAGAGGTCTACCAGACGGTGAAGAGGACACCACGTGAGACTTCAGCTCATCATTGGATCCATTCAATGACTTGAAGCCTGCAGCTCATCAATGGATCCATTCAATGACTTGAAGCCTGCAGCTCATCAATGGATCCATTCAATGACTTGAAGCCTTCAGCTCATTAATGGATCCATTCAATGACTTGAAGCCTTCAGCTCATTAATGGATCATTCGATGACTTGAAGCCTTTAGCTCGTTAATGGATCCATTCAGTGACTTGAAGCCTTCAGCTCGTCAATGGATCAGTTTGATGACTTGAAGCCTTCAGCTCGTCAATGGATCCATTCAATGACTTAAAGCCTTCAGCTAGTCAATGGATCCGTTCGATGACTTGAAGCCTTCAGCTAGTCAATGGATCCATTCAGTGACTTGAAGCCTTCAGCTCATCAATGGATCAGTTTGATGACTTGAAGCCTTCAGCTCGTCAATGGATCCATTCAATGACTTAAAGCCTTCAGCTAGTCAATGGATCCGTTCGATGACTTGAAGCCTTCAGCTAGTCAATGGATCCATTCAGTGACTTGAAGCCTTCAGCTCATCAATGGATCAGTTCGATGACTTGAAGCCTTCAGCTCATTAATGGATCCATTGAATGACTTGAAGCCTTCAGCTCATCAATGGATCAGTTCGATGACTTGAAGCCTTCAGCTCATTAATGGATCCATTCAGTGATTTAAAGCCTTCAGCTCATCAATGGAGCCGTTCAATGACTTGAAGCCTTCATCTCATCAATGGAGCCGTTCAATGACTTGAAGCCTTCATCTCATCAATGGAGCCGTTCAATGACTTGAAGCCTTCATCTCATCAATGGATTAGTTCGATGACTTGAAGCCTTCAGTTCGTCAATGGATCCATTCGATGATTTGAGGCCTTCAATTTGTCAATGGATCCATTCAATGACTTGAAGCGTTCAGCTCATCAATGGACTCATTAAATGACTTGAAGCCTTTAGCTTGTGAATGGATCTGTTTGATGACTTGAAGCCTTCAGCTTGTTAACCACCATCTGAGGGCTGTGTGATGTCTCGGAGCCCATATCCAAAATCAGCAAAATAGAGAGACTTGGGGGGGGGGGGGGGGGGGGGGCTGTAAGGGGAGGTTTTGTTGATCCATATTCTGACTGCAAAGTGTAGGGGGGCGGTGAGTGCACCGTGACCCGCACTCCATATATGGAGCTTGACTCCCCCACTTGCTGTCCCGCTATCCAAGGAGAAAGACTCAGGAGCCGATTGGAAGGAGCAAAGTAGATTGACTGCTTTGGAGAAAAAAAAAAAAATGACACATGGGTTTGTTTACTGACAAAGTCATGTGATCCCCTTGTCCTCACTGATATGGAGGGGGATCAATTACTTTGATGATAGAGATCCACATCAAGTATAGAGGCTGTCATCTGTCTTTATAGGGGAACTCAGCGTGTCACTTGATGACCTAGTTTTCCTAACCGGTTAGTGACCGAGGACGTACCTCGTATGCCCTACAGTCCTTTCCCACAGGACACAATGCCCACAGGGTTTTGGCTGCTGTTAGGGTGCCAACCAAGTCCCAGTCAGTGCAGGAGAACTGCCGCTGTCCGTCTTTATTGGAGAACTCGATGTGTCACTAGAAGGACATCGTTTTCTGACTGGTTAGTGACTGAGGACGTACCTTGTATGCCCTACGGTCCTTTCCCACTGCATACGATGCCCATGGGGTTTGAGCTGCAACAGCCAAGTCCCAGCTCAGTGTGAGAGAACTGCCACTGTCTGTCTTTATTAGAGAACTTGATGTGTCACTAGATGGACATAGTTTATCTAACTGGTCAATGACCGAGGACGTACCTTGTATGCCCTACAGTCCTTTCCCACTGGACACGATGCCCATGGGGTTTGAGCTGCAATAGCCAAGTCCCAGTTCCGTACAAGAGAACTGCCACTGTCTGTCCTTATAGGAGAACTCCATTTTTCACCAGAAGGACATCGTTTTCTAACTGGTTAATGGCCAAGGACTTACCTCTTATGCCCCACAGTCCTTTCCCACAGGGCACAAGAGAACTGCCGCTGTCCGTCTTTATAGGGGAACTCAGCGTGTCACTAGAAGGACATAGTTTTCTGACTGGTTAGTGGCCGAGACTATACCTTGTATGCCCTACAGTCCTTTCCTACAGGACACAATGCCCATGGGGTTTGAGCTGCAACAGCCAAGTCCCAGTTCCGTACAAGAGAACTGCCACTGTCTGTCCTTATAGGAGAACTCCATTTTTCACCAGAAGGACGTCGTTTTCTAACTGGTTAATGGCCGAGGACTTACCTCGTATGCCCCACAGTCCTTTCCCACAGGGAACAATGCCCATGGGGTTTAAAATGCAACAGCCAAGTCCCAGTCAGAGCAAGAGAATTGACACAGTCCGTCTTTATAGGGGAACTCAGCTTGTCACTAGAAGGACATAGTTTTCTGACTGGTCAATGACCGAGGACGTACCTTGTATGCCCTACGGTCCTTTCCCACTGGACACGATGCCCATGGGGTTTGAGCTGCAACAGCCAAGTCCCAGTTCCATACAAGAGAACTGCCGCTGTCTGTCCTTATAGGAGAACTCCATTTTTCACCAGAAGGACATCGTTTTCTAACTGGTTAACAGCCGAGGACTTACCTCTTATGCCCCACAGTCCTTTCCCACAGAGCACAAGAGAACTGCCGCTGTCCCGTCTTTATAGGGGAACTCAGCGTGTCACTAGAAGGACATAGTTTTCTGACTGGTTAGTGGCCGAGGCTATACCTTGTATGCCCTACGGTCCTTTCCCACTGGATACGATGCCCATGGGGTTTGAGCTGCAACAGCCAAGTCCCAGTTCAGTGCGAGAGAACTGCCACTGTCTGTCTTGCTAGGAGAACTCCATTTTTCACCAGAAGGACATCGTTTTCTAACTGCTTAACAACCGAGGACTTACCTTGTATGCCCTACGGTCCTTTACCACAGGACACGATGCCCATGGGGTTTAAACTGCAACAGCCAAGTCACAATCAGTGCGAGAGAACTGCCACTGTCTGTCTTGATAGGAGAACTTGATGTGTCTCTAGAAGGACGTCATTTATCTAACTGGTCAATGACCGAGGACGTACCTTGTATGCCCTCCTACGGTCCTTTCCCACAGGACACGATGCCCATGGTGGTTTTAGCTGCTGTCAGTGTGGCAGCCAAGTCCCAGTCAGTGCAAGGGAACCGCTGAAGCAAACCAGAAGTTGAACCCGCTACTTCCAAATTACTAAGGCCGTAACCGAAATGAAAAAATGGGCTCCAGAGCCTAATCAGAACCTGTCAGGTGCCAAAAAAAAGTTCCTGTTCAGCAGACTCTTCCACTTCCAGGAACATCGGAGGTCTGCGTCCCCCACCGTATGATTTGGCTCCATCCTCCAACCCCTACGTCGCTGCTGTGTCCTGTACTGATGTAGAGGTCAGAGAATGGGGTGGGAATGGAATAAGGCTGGAAATAAAATGGCGCTTGTTAGAAAAGAAAAAATTTATAGAAATTAAATAAAATTGATTATTTTTTCTTTTTTAATCGAAAAAGTAAAATAAAAAAAAAGTCCATTGCAGTCTTCCAAAACCACCATAGTTCCTAAAAGGGTCCTAGTAATACAAATCCCCCAACCAAAAGGGAGGAAAAAAAAAAGACTGAAAAGATACAAAGTTAATTGACTCATTGCACCCCCGATTCCGTACTACAGGGGGCGATGTCACCATTCTTCCAACGAGATCCCGGGGGGAACTTTTGTGAGATGGGGCTCCAGCATGGCGCCGGGTCGTCTTCTCATGAGATCCAAGCTAATCGGCCTCCTGCGGGATCTCGCTGGAAGAAGCATGACGTCATTTTTGCCATGGGTGGAAGCCAAGCGGTAAGGTCAGTTTTTTCAACCCCTTACTGCGTGGCCACCATGATGAAGAAATGGTCTCAATGTGGCTCCTCCTAGTGGCCAGTACAGAGTTACCCATTGGATAGTGGAACGGGGGGGAGTGGGTTGCGTTGAAGCCCCAAGTTGCAGCTGAATCTGAGGTCCTTCTACCAAACATGCCTGCTTTAAAGAATAATCTGTAGCACAAGACAGGTCCACTTTAAAGGGTCAACCGCCGATAGAGTGCTGTGTCCTAGCAGACAAATTTCTCTCTATGCCTCACTCTACCTGTAGGGGGTGCTGTATAAAAGGGGAGCTGCCTCTGACAAGGGTGCAATTGGTGGAGGAAATAAATGTCTTCAGCTACTTGCCCCCTATCTCTTGTACATGTTTGGCCAGGACCCTCGGGGGCGGGCATTATACAGTGATCGGACCGCCCCTGCTCTGTACTCAGTCGCTCTTTTTCAACGACTTGCTAAAGTTACCCGTCTCATTATCAGTAGTAAAGGGAGCCAGGAGAGCTACGGAAACAGTGGACTGTCCCTTGAAGGAGGGAGGTAGCTACATATAACAAATCTCAGTGGCATAATCCTCCTGGGCGGGGCTGTGAAAACAACATCTTAAAGGAAAATCCCGAGAGAACTGGCGGAGTCCATGGCCACGGTCGGAATCTTTACGGAGGTTTTCGGCCTCGCACGTCTAAGCCTGGGACGTCATTTGAGGCGAGAGGAGGTTGGCAGTGCTGATCCTTTGACCGGTTGGACATGAAGAGCATGGACGGCGGTACAGGCGGTGGGGCTCCGCGTTGTAGACTGGCGTGACAAACATGGCACGGCACACAGACCACCTTGGAGGAGTTGACACTATAGATCTCCCCCTCGGCCAGGGGGAGAGGCGGTGGTAAAAATCGGGCGACAAGTGAGTGCTATTCGTCAGTCACCGAGCCGTTGAGTCCCTTGGTGTCGGTGCAGCCGTTCATCTTATAGTCGTCGTCCATGCTCTCCTGGATGTCGTACTCCTCGTCCAAAAAGTCCAGCGAGTTGTTACTGGGCAGGCCCCTGATGGTGAACTTGTTCGACACCCGCATCCACTTGACGCGGTTGGCCGCCACGATTTCGTAGAGCTCAGACGAAAGAGGGAACAGCTCTTTCAACAACCTGCAAAAAAAAAAGGAGAGAACCTGGTCAAAGGCTTGGATTTTGTTCTCAGTTGGGTTGTCCTACTCTTCCAGTCTAATAATGTTTCAGCGTAGCAATATTCAATTGCCAAAAATTCCCAAACCCGTGGAACTTGGACCTTCCGGAGAAGTGTCACATATACACGGAAGTCCTGGTTGTTACACAATCCTAGAGATGCTCTGGGAAGGGAGTAATGATTCCTGATGGTCCCACTTAAAAAAATGAACCTATGGTTCTCCCACGTCTGAGCAAAGTATGGGTTCCCTTCAAGGGCTGAACTAACTTTGAAGGTAAGTCTCCCGCCCAAACTTTTTTGTTGCGTTGTGGAGTGGGGAAAAGGTTTGAACCCCTGTCAGGCCATAATATGGCTCCATATTTCCCCATCATTTCCTGTCCAGGTGTCACCAAGAGAAATCTCCAGGATGGACGCAGAAAGCAGAGGAACAATTTTTTTTGGAACCTGGCTCAAAGTAGCGTCCTGTAGGATCTATTAATCGTGTCTTCAGAAGGACACATTTTGAGAGCTTTTTGGGTTTTCGGAAGTTTGGCTGAACCACAACTGAACTTTTTTCAAATGTTTGGTCATCTCCAACAGGAATGACTAGTGATAGTCAATAAAGATTTATGCCGTGGCACTTATGTGGTGGGATGGCAGAAGTGTTTGATAAGTGCACTCGGGACCCTGAGACTCATCGAGTTCTGTATCGAGATCAATGGCATAACTATCGGTCCCTTCCTTTAAGTCAGGGTATTGGGGGAAATCTTGGACTCCGATTTCTCCTTCCACCCCCACATCCAATCGCTGTCCTAATCCTGCCTCCTTCACTTTCATAACATTTCCAAAATACACCCCTTCTTAACCAACGACACCACCCTACTCCCTCCTCATCGGCCGACCTATCGGCTATCCCCCTTCAGTCCATCTTGAATGATGCCACCAGTCGCATCTACCTTACCGACCACTCAGAGTCTACAAGATCGTCATAATGGCGTCTACAAATCTACTACAAGATCTCTCCCTGTTTACCAAGAAATTATATTTACGTAAACAAGTGAGTTACTGTCATCAAATCAATAATGCGTAAATATATTATTAAAAAAATAAATTCAAGCCCTGCCCTACGAGTTTCGTCCCTGTAGACATTATGATGAAATGAGTAGGGTGGGGCCTGAGATTTTTTTAAATATATTTACGCATTATTGATTTGATGACAGTAACTCGCTTGTTTACATTATTATTATTGCTTGAAATTCCTAATCATGCTACAGTACTCAAGCCCCGCCCTACGCGTTTTGTCCCTGTAGACATTATGATGAATTGCGTAGGGCGGGGCTTGAGATTTTTTTCTATACTTAAGCATTATTGATTTGATGACAGTAACTCATTTGTTTGCATAATTATAATTGCTTGAATTTCCCAATCATGCACAGTCCATAAGCCCTGCCTGCGCATTTCGTCATAATGGCGCCTACAGATCTCTACAAGATCGTCATAATGGCATCTACAGATCTACTACAAGATCTCTCCCTGTTTACCAAAAAATTATATTTACGTAAACAAGTGAGTTACTGTCATCAAATCAATAATGCTTAAATATAATAAAAAAAATAAATTCAAACCCTGCCCTACGAGTTTCGTCTCTGTAGACATTATGATGAAATGAGTAGAGTGGGGCCTGAGATTTTTTAAAATATAGTTGAGCATTATTGATTTGATGACAGTAACTCACTTGTTTACATAATTATAATTGCTTGAATTTCCTAATCATGCCACAATACACAAGCCCCGCCCTGCTCGTTTCATCATGATGGCGTCTACACATCTCTACAATATTTTCATAATGGCGTCTACAGATCTACTACAAGATCTCTCCCTGTTTACCAAGAAATTATAGTTACATAAACAAGTAATTTACTGTCATCAAATCAATAATTCTTAACTATATAAACAAAAATAAATTCAAGCCCCTCCCTACGTGTTTCGTCCCTGTAGATATGATGAAATGCATAGGGTGGGGCTTGAGATTTTTTTTATATATATTTAAGCATTATTGATTTGATGACAGTAACTCACTTGTTTGCATAATTATAATTGCATGAATTTCCTAATCATGCCACAGTACTCGAGCCCTGTCCTGCGCGTTTCGTCATAATGGCGTCTACAGGGACATCCCTGTAGATATCATTAGGACGAAATGCGTAGGGAGGGGCATGACTTGATTTTTTTTATATATTTAAGCATTACTGATTTGATGACAGTAAATCGCTTGTTTACATACATACAATTGCTTGGTGAATAGGGAGAGATCTTGTAGTAAGCACTGTTACATATTTTTTTTTATAAAAAATAATGTTGTATAAATTCAGTATACTGATAGAAATAATCGCATTGTAGCAAATCCTAATCTCCATTTTATTTAATTTCCTAATTTACGCCACAATATTTCAGCCTGTCCCTACGCGTTTCGTCATAATGGCATCTACAGGGACGTTCCTGTAGACATCAGTACGACGAAACGCGTAGAGGGGGCTTGAGTTGATTCTTTTTAGCGTTTGTAGCAAATCCTAATCTCCATTTTATTTAATTTCCTAATTTCCACCACAATATTTCAGCCTGTCCCTACGCGTTTCGTCATAATGGCATCTACAAGGACGTTCCTGTAGACATCAGTACGACGAAACGCATAGAGGGGGCTTGAGATGATTCTTTTTAGAATTGTAGCAAATCCTAATCTCCATTTGAGCGAATTTCATATTAACGACACAGTCTGGGTGACAGTTAGGGGCGGAGCTGGTGATGGTGACATGGCGCATTGTCACTCACTTGTAGATGGGCATGGCGATGTGTTCCATGAAGCTGATCTGGAGCTCCGGGATGTAGGCCTTCTCGCGGTCCATCATCTCACTGGGTCGGTTCCCCATGGCTTTCTCCTGCAGGGCGATAAAAGTCGGTCATTATACAAAGACAATGGGAGCCTTCACGTCCAATGCTGGGTGGAGCAAGTGTGTGTTTTGTTGGCTGAAGAGAAACCAAAACCTGCCTATTGTGTTGGGTGGAGACCAGGGGCGGACTGACAACTCATGGGGCCCCCGGGCAATAGGAAATCATGGGGCCCTTGTGTCCTCACCCACACTCAAACCACAGGCAAAAAAGCCTATGAAAGGTACCAGGGGCATCTCATGGGGCGCCCCACTGACCCCAAGCCCTCGGGCAGGGCCCGAATGCCTAAATGGTCAGTCTGCCCCTGGTGGAGACCCTTATCTAGAGTGGGTGTAGTTAGGTTCTTGCTTTTCCGGGTGGAGATAGTCCCTGTTCCTGAGGTCAGTGTCTCTTTCAGTGTTGGATGGAGTCAGTGTACCTTCCAGGGATGGTTGGGACAGAGCAGTGTGTCCTAGTTTGGTGGAGTTAACGAGTCTTCCTATGGCAGGCGTTTTCTATTCTGCTCAAAAAGTCCCCCCTATCCTGGTTGCATTCCTATCATTCATGGGTCAGCAGGACGTGTACGGAACGGAGGCAGAATATTCTTGTTGTGGGTGGAGTTGGTACTCACCAGGTCTCCCTGAGAAAAGAATTCTTTGTAGATCAGCTCCTGGAATAGGGAACACAAACACGTCAGCCATGTTTTATCCTCAACATTCCCCGTAATTCCCATTAAAGGGATGGATTCTATTTGCAGTGCCTTCCAGGAGGACACAAACACAAGATACTTCCTCTACCGAAAAACCAAAAACCAAAACCAAGGCATCTACTGGTATCTCAGACCACGACGGAGCTCAGAGCACACGCCACCGTAACGTCACGTGACTCCGGAGAGGAACCACAACTCACCGCGATCTTTCTGGTGGTGGTCCAGCCTTTGGTTTGATCAGAGAGGTCACAGGAGGTCATGAGGAGGCAGATCAGGAGGTTGTGGTGGTGCTTGTTTTTGGGGTCGTATCCGTCTGTGGAGGACATGGAAATGATGAAACAGATTCCCCCCTCCCCGTGGAAGATCCTTTAGCTCCCATTTTCTGGTTGCAGTGGTCAGACAGCCAGCACTAGGTATCTTCGTTGGCGGAGTTCCAGATTTATGGGAAATCTCAAAATTTCAGAGAAAAAAAAATACATTTTGGTGACAGGAACTCTAAAGGACCCCCGAAATCTCACCTGTCCTCCAACGTAGCCAAAGCTGGCACTGAAAGTGCTCCTCAAGCTTCTTCTCAGGCAAGACTGGCTGGAAAACGTGACATTGGAAACCAGAAATGGCGTGGTGGACATCACTTCCAGGAGCTCCAAAGGACGGGGAGATCAGCGAATGTATGTTCCTCCCTCCCCCCTGCCGGCTGCATCCCAGATCCGCTGATGACTGAGGGGCACCAGGTGGGACAGCGTTGACTGGTTGTAAACCCTTCCACATACCCAGTGAAGTGACTGGCCTTCACAGAGATGAAATAAACCCTTCTACTTAAGTTGTACCTATTCATCTGTTCACTCTTCTATACATCAGAATTTAGGCTCCAAGTTGTACCTGTTCATCTGCAGCCCTCTCTTCTCTACATCAGAATTTAGGCTCCGAGTTGTACCTGTTCATCTGAACCCTCCCTTCTCTACATCAGAATTTAGGCTCCAAGTTGTACCTGTTCATCTGTCGCCCTCTCTTCACTACATAAGAATTTGGGCGCAAAGTTGTACCTGTTCATCTGTGGCTCTCTCTTCTCTACATCAAAATTTAGGCTCCAAGTTATACCTGTTCATCTGTAGCCCTCTCCTCTACTTCAGAATTTAGGCTCCAAGTTGCACCTGTTCATCAGCGGCCCTCTTTTCTCTACATCAGAATTTAGGCTCCAAGTTGTACCTGTTCATCTGTCGCCCTCTTTCACTACATAAAATTTGGGTGCAAAGTTGTACCTGTTTATCTGCAGGAGTCCCTTCTCTACATCAGAATTTAGGCTCCAAGTCGTACCTGTTCATATGCAGCCCTGTCTTTTCTACATCAAAATTTAGGCTCCATGCATACGTTAGTGGTGTAAAGTCATGTTAAAAATGTGAGTTTTTCAGCGTTTTTGCATTAGCACTTAGCCACATTTTTCAGCGTTAGAGCGTTTTTACAGCTAAAAAACTCCTCTAGAAACCCGCTAGTTCTGGGGGTTTTTTCCAGCCAAAAAACGCTGATTCCAGTCTATGTGTGTACGGACACATAGGATAACATGCTGGGGGTTTACTAGCTGTAGAAAAAAAACGTCAAAAGCCAAAAAACAGCAGCCGTAAAAACGTCAAGTGTGCGTGAGGACTTATAAAGCTCGTCTCAGCTGTCAGAAAAAAAAGTGCGCGAAGAGCTGAAGTTACACTCCGCAGAGCACAGTGAGGAGAGCTCTGAGAGCCGATTGGAGGGATGGGACACTCCCCCATCGACACAGGACTCAGGAACAGAGCTGAGGCTGTCACTCAGAGGCTGCGTGCCGGAGCTCCCTCCCCTGTCACCATTTGTCTCTTGGTGTCAGGAAAACTCATCCGAAGTGACTCGTGCTGATAGCAGAGGAAGAAGGCAGCAGACAGAAACGACACTCCGTGCTGTGGATTGAGGCAAGCACACACCACAGCTGAATGTGCTTTGTTCATTTTTCACATTGGAGGTTTACAGCCACTTTAAGCTGTTTTTCTAGAGTTTTATCGTATGACCAGAAAAGAAAGAAATGTTAGAACTATACCATGTGCCTGACATCTCAAGATACCCTCAGAAAATGTCACCTCGCGCTTTTAGCCTTTTTGTACCTTTGCTTGAAAATTTAATAAAAACTATTGGAAAATATATATATTTTATTTGCCGCAGTTTCCTTTTTCTCCACTAGATGGGGATGCTGTCTAAGAAATCATTGCTCTATGGATCAAAGTATCATTAGAGTGTATCTAAAGCCAAGAAGAGAAATCTCATCCCAGTCTACAGATCCGCTGTCTGCATTGTCAATGTGGTGATCCTGCCACTTCCTGCTCTAAGGTGACAACACTTTCACTGTGCTAAATCTAAGGAGGACAGTGTTGTCACCCTGGGACAGGAAGTGTGATGACTCTAAAGAACACCTTCCCTTCTCCTCATCTCTATGTTACAGGAGGTATATGATCTGCAGTCAGAAAGACCGAGGGTCTAGGTAGTCAGAGAGGCTGACAGTCTCGGTAGTCAGAGGGTTTTGGTCTACACCAGGGGTGGGCAACTGTGGCCCTCTAGCTGTTGTAGAACTACAAGTCCCATGAGGCATTGCAAAACTGACAGTTACAAGCATGACTCCCAAAGGCAGAGACATGATGGGACTTGTAGTTCACCAACAGCTGGAGGCAGGGGCGGACTGACAACTCATAGGGCCCCCGGGCAATAGGGGATCATGGGGCCCCTGTGTCCTTGCCCAAACTCAAAAAAGCCTATGAAAAAGGTACCAGGGGCCATCTCATGGGGCCCCCTACTGACCCCAAACCCTTGGGCAGTGCCCGAGTTTCCAAATGGTCAGTCTGCCCCTGGCTGGAGGGCCACAGTTGCCCACCACTGGTCTACACCGCATGCACCACTTGGCACCTGTGGCAGCACATGGCTCTGATGATTGGCCCTTCGGGAACTAGGTAGTCGGGGTGTAGGGCGATCTTGGGGGTAGTTACCTCTTGCCATTTTCTGGAGTTCCTTGAAGATTCGTAGGTGGTGTGCCAGGTCGGTGGCCAGTATGATGTCCCTCATCAGATCCAGCATCCTCTGGTAATCCTGTGTGAAATCAGGGAGGATAGAAATGTCATTGACAACTAATTTCCCAGAATCCAGCGGGAGTGACCTGCATAGGATAATGTCTCCCTGCTCCACCACATAGACCTAGGAAGGTTTACAACTGCCACAGAAGAGGTTGTATATGGAGAGGAGACCAATTTCTTGGATAGGCGGGTGTGGATCTTGGATGGATCTGGGGCAGATCTGAGGAGGGTCTAAGGTGGATTTGGAGGTAGCTCTGGGATCACTCTGGGGGAAAATTGATGTGGATCTGGGCGAGATCTGGGATGAATCTAAGGTAGATCTTGAGTTGATCTGGAGTTCATTTAGAATGGGTCAGGGGTAGAGCTAGCATGAATTTAGGGTGGATGGTTTCATCTGTGGTGGATCTGGGATGGAGCTAGGAGGATCTAGGGTGGATCTGGCGTAGATCTTGGGTTTATCTGAGGTGGAACTAGGATGGTATTGGAGTTAATCTTGAGTTTATCTAAGATGGAACTAGGAAGGATTTAGGGTGGATCTGGGGTAGATCTTGGGTTTATCTGGAGTGGACCTGGGATGGATCTAGGGTGAATCTGGGTAGATGTTACTTGAGGTGGAACTGGGATGAATCTAGGGTGGATCTGGGGTAGATTTTGGGTTTATCTATGGTGGAACTGAGATGGATTTAGGGTGGATCTGGGGTGGATCTTGGGTTTATCTGGGGTAGAACAGGGGATGGCTCTAGGGTGGATCTTGAGTTTATCTAGATTGGAACTGGGATGGATCTAAGGTGGATCTGGGGTGGATGTTGGGTTTACTGTGGTGGAGCTAGGATGGATCTAGACTGAATCTGGGGTAGATCTTGGGTTTATCTGTGGTGAAACTGGGATGGATCTAAGGTGGATCTGGTATAGATGTTGGGTTTATCTGGATTGGAACTGGGATGGATCTAGACTGAATCTGGGGTAGATCTTGGGTTTATCTGAGGTGGAACTAGGATGGATCTGGGGTTGATCTCGGGTTTATCTAAAGTGGAACTCAGATCTATTTAGGGTGGATCTGGAGTAGATCTTGGGTTTATGTAAGGTGGAACTGGGATAGATCTAGGTATGATCTTGGGTTTATCAAAGGTGGAACTGGGATTGTTCTAGCGTGGCTCTGTGGTAGATCTTGGGTTTATCTGAGGTGGAACTAGGATGGATCTAGGTTTGATCTTGGGTTTACCTGTGGAGGAACTGGGATGGATTTAGGGTGGCTCTGGGGTAGATCTTGGGTTTATCTAAGGTGGAACTCAGATTTAGGGTGGATCTGGAGTAGATCTTGGGTTTATCTAAGGTGGAACTGGAATGGATCTAAGTTTGATCTTGTGTTTATCTGGGGTAGAACTGGGATGGATTTAGGGTGGCTCTGTGGTAGATTTGGGTTTATCTAAGGTGGAACTGGGATTGTTCTAACATGGCTCTGTGGTAGATCTTGAGTTTATCTGAGGTGAAACTAGGATGGATGTAGGTTTGATCTTGGGTTTACCTGTGGAGGAACTGGGATGGATTTAGGGTGGCTCTGGGGTAGATCTTGGGTTTATCTAAGGTGGAACTTGGATTTAGGGTGGATCTGAAGTAGATCTTGGGTTTATCTAAGGTGGAACTAGGATGGATCTGGGGTTGATCTTGGGTTTATCTGGGTGGGGTAGAACTGGGATGGATTTAGGGTGGCTCTGGGGTAGATCTTGGGTTTATCTAAGGTGGAACTCGGATTTAGGGTGGATTTAGAGTAGATCTTGGGTTTATCTAAGGTGGAACTGCGAAGGATCTAGACTGGGTCTGGGGTAGATCTTGGGTTTATCTGAGGCGGAACTAGAATGGATCTAGGTTTGATCTTGGGTTTACCTGTGGTGGAACTGGGATGGATTTAGGGTGGCTCTGGGGTAGATCTTGGGTTTATCTAAGGTGGAACTCGGATTTAGGGTGGATCTGGAGTAGATCTTGGGTTTATCTAAGGTGGAACTAGAATGGATCTGGGGTTGATCTTGGGTTTATCTGGGTGGGGTAGAACTGGGATGGATTTAGGGTGGCTCTGGGGTAGATCTTGGGTTTACCTGTGGTGGAACTGGGATGGATGTGGGGTAACTCCTGGATTGACTAGGGGTGCAAATGGGGTGGAACTTGGGTTGGTCTACAGTGGCTTTGGAGTAGATCTTGATGAATCTGGGGTATATCAGGGCTAGTTTTTGGGTTGATGGGTATCAGTGGTAAGTACTGTATCTATCAGCACCGATAATGTTCCCATCTACATACGTAATCGGGGGAGGGGGGAAAAGATCGAACGTTGGAAAACAAAGCGAACAGAAGACCGCCGACGCCGAGTCCCGGAGCAGAAAACTTATATTAAAAAAAAAAAAAGCGGAAAAACAAAAGCAACAGAAAAGAAGAAGAATTCTGGGTAACCTCCCGGGCCTCATTATTTGCCGTATTTGCACTCATTTAGCGGGCGAGAACAGATGGCGCAGAAGGCGGGCCCCGGAGAATACACGGCACAATGGAACACGGAACAGGAAAACACACAACGTGACGATCCGTGTGAAAGGAATGACTCCGCTTCCCATGGGAGGCACACATCTGTTCTCCTCATCCCCGACAATCCCGAGCCGACCTATCAGAGCCACCATCAGCCGGCACTACGAGGGACCCCGAGCACGTATCGCCGCCACAGAGCCCAGATCGCCCCGAGACGTCACGTTCCATACACAGCGGGATTCTGATTCTGTACACGTTGTTGGGGCGTCTCTGTGACCTCCTCTGTCCGTTCCTGGTCATGGCAGATGCCGTGATTTCCAACCATTCCCGCAGCATTCGTAGAAAAGTAACCCGTTCCTGATCTGCAGATGAAACCAGAACAGCCAGGCCAGGCCTTCATCTGCTTTGGTCTCCAGAAGGGCGGCGCCATCTTTGTTCAGGCGTCATCCAGGTTTGCCATTTACTTCCTGGACTGGGAGGATGGCTGTGCAGTTCTTGGCTGTGTTCACAGATGTCTGACACGGATCAGCCCCTGTTGCCACCTCTCACAAAGTTACAATGTACAGTCTGATCACTGGGGGAGGGGACTGAGGAAATGACTCCTCCTCCTTCTACAAAGTTACAATGTACAGTCTGATCACTGGGGGAGGGGAGACAGGAAATGACTCCTCCTCCTTCTACAAAGTTACAATGTACAGTCTGATCACTGGGGGGAGGGGAGACTGAGGAAATGACTCCTCCTCCTTCTACAAAGTTACAATGTACAGTCTGATCACTGGGGGAGGGGAGACTGAGGAAATGACTCCTCCTCCTTCTACAAAGTTACAATGTACAGTCTGATCACTGGGGGAGGGGAGACAGGAAATGACTCCTCCTCCTTCTACAAAGTTACAATGTACAGTCTGATCACTGGGGGTAGGGGAGACTGAGGAAATGACTCCTCCTCCTTCTACAAAGTTACAATGTACAGTCTGATCACTGGGGGAGGGGAGACTGAGGAAATGCCTCCTCCTCCTTCTACAAAGTTACAATGTACAGTCTGATCACTGGGGGAGGGGAGACTGAGGGAACTTACATTGGCCGCCATATATTCCGCCTTCCTGCCCCTCTAATCCCACTAGAAGTCTGTCAGTTTGGAACCAATAGACTCTGCAATCTCTTATTCAGTCACACGGGGGAGCCCAAGAACCACATTTCCTGATTTTCCCTAAAATCTATGCCCTCCACCTGGTCACCCGACACCCTCGTCCTTCCCATGTGTGTGGGGAGCGGATGGAGATGACAGGTCACCTTTAGAACGCTCACCTTCCTGTTGAACTGTTCGAAGATGTTGCAGCCCTGTGAGTTGAGGATGGCGATGGCCTGAGCGAAGTGGTGCCTCTGCGGGGGGACAAGACACAAGGGGTTCAGAAGGAGGAACGAAGATAAGGACTTTTCTTCATAAAAACTTGTGCCTCCCCCCGACCAGATAGACACAGGAGGTTTGAAATGTTACAGGTGTCACCAAAACAGGAAATAAGGGGAAATCTTCCAGTGGGGACACCTACCTGTCGAAGGTAAGATCACGTTCACTATACAGCGGCTTGCTGCAGAGCCTACAGTGCCCCATAGTACCCCAATACTGTCCCATGGTGCCCCCTGGTGGTGCCCCCTGTCCCCTGGTGGTGGCCCCTGACTTGCTGAAGAGCCTACAGTGCCCCATAGTACCCCAATACTGTCCCATGGTGCCCCCTGGTGGTGCCCCCTGTCCCCTGGTGGTGGCCCCTGACTTGCTGAAGAGCCTACAGTGCCCCATAGTACCCCAATACTGTCCCCTGGTGGTGGCCCCTGAGTTGCTGCAGAGCCTACAGTGCACCATAGTACCCCAATACTGTCCCATGGTGCCCCCTGTCCCCTGGTGGTGCCCCCTGTCCCCTGGTGGTGGCCCCTGACTTGCTGAAGAGCCTACAGTGCACCATAGTACCCCAATACTGTCCCATGGTGCCCCCTGTCCCCTGGTGGTGCCGCCTTGCTTACTGCAGAGCCTACATTGCCCCATAGTACCCCAACAGTGTCACACAATGCCCCCCTGGTGGTGCCCCCTGGTGTGCTCCAGAGCCTACAGTGCACATAGTACCCCAACAGTGTCCCACAATGCCCCCCTGACCCCTGGTGGTGCCCCCTGGTGTGCTCCAGAGTCTACAGTGCCTCATAGTACCCCAACAGTGTTCCACGGTGCCCCCTCATCCTCTGGTGGTGCCCCCCCGACTTGCTGCAGAGACTACAATCCTCCATAGTAACCCCAACAGTGTTCCACAGTGCCCCCCATCCACCAGTGGTGCCCCCTGGTATGCTGCAAAACCTACAGTGCCCCATAGTACACCCCCCCCCCCCCCAACAGTGCCCCACAATGCCCCCCCCCCCCCCCAGTGTGCTGCAGAGCCTACAGTGCCCCATAGTACCCCAACAGTGTCCCAAATTGCCCCCTCATCCTCTGGTGGTGCCCCCTGGCTTGCTGCAGAGCCCACAGTCCTCCATAGTACCCCAACAGTGTCCCATAGTGCCCCTCAGCCCCTGGTGGTGCTGCAGAGCCTACAGTTCCCCATAGTAACCACAATGCTGTCTCATAGTGCCCCCCCCCCCCATCCCCCCCATGCCCTCCAGGCATGAAAAGTTCTGGAAGAATTTACCTAACCCTGATCTCAGTATGGTTGAAGACCATTGGCCAGGAGGTACTGGCTACACCACCAGAGCCAGAAGATATGTGGAAGGAGCATCATCTGAAGTGGTTGTTTTCGGGGAATATTTAGTTCATATTTATGAATCAATGTATTTGGCTCCAGAAAAATGTCCCATTGTGTGTCTGGGAGTTACAGGAGATTCCCGCCCCCTTCCAGTTGGGCCCCAAGATGGGGACAGAGACTGCAATAACAACCTAGAAGAAGATATATCCATCCCCTGTCTCTGAAACAGCCCTAAGATGAGCAGAGACTTTTCACTAACACAACTGGGTCACCTTCCCGCCGCCAGCCTGTGATTGGACAGTAAAGAAATGGCCACGCTTGTAAGTCATCATTCTGCTTACTGTTTGTTCCTCCTCCAGAGAATAAAAACATACAAGAGCCAACACGTTTCAGGGGCCAACAGCTCCCTTCATTAGGGCTCAGTAGACTTCCCAAGGCTCAGATGGACTCTTCATGATGGGTAATCAGATCTTTAGATTTAAAAAGACACCCTCCGGTTCAAGTCCACCAAGTTCAACCAGACTCCATGCACCATCCATGGTCTTCCAGGCAGGAATTTGCTTGAGTTTCCTTCCACAATCTGAAACTTTGAAACATCTGGGTTTAGCCAAGAACTGGCCTGGGGCTGCTAGGGGCCCATACTGACATAGCTGTGATGGGGTCATTCACCAGCAATCTAAAGATCTATCTGATTACCCATCATGAGGAGTCCATCTGAGCCTTGGGGAAGTCTACTGAGCCCTAATGAAGGGGGCTGTTGGCCCCTGAAACGTGTTGGCTCTTTTATGTTTTTATTCTCTGGAGGAGGAACAAACAGAAAGCAGAATTGATGACTTACAAGCGTGGCCATTTCTCTACTGTCCAATCACAGGATGGGGGGCGGGAAGGTGACCCAGTTGTGTTAGTGAACTGCAGCAGAGAAAAGTTCAACCAGACTCCATGGACCATCCATGGTCTTCCAGGCAGGAATTTGCTTGAGTTTCCTTCCACAATCTGAAACTTTGAAACATCTGGGTTCAGCCAAGAACTGGCCTGGGGCTGCTAGGGGCCCATACAACTGGGTCACCTTCCGCCCCCAGCCTGTGATTGGACAGTAAAGAAATGGCCACGCTTGTAAGTCATCAATTCTGCTTTCTGTTTGTTCCTCCTTCAGAGAATAAAAACATAAAAGAGCCAACACGTTTCAGGGGCCAACAGCTCCCTTCATTAGGGCTCAGTAGACTTCTCCGAGGCTCAGATGGACTCCGCATGATGGGTAATCAGATAGATATTTAGATTGCTGGTGAATGACCCCATCACAGCTATGTCAATATGGGCCCCTAGCAGCCCCAGGACAGTTCTTGGCTGAACCCAGATGTTTCAAAGTTTCAGATTGTGGAAGGAAACTCAAGCAAATTCCTGCCTGGAAGACCATGGATGGTCCATGGAGTCTGGTTGGACTTGGTGGACTTGAACCGGATGGTGTCTTTTTCAACCTAACCCGGCACTGCTGCCCGTTGTCTCTGCTCCTTCTGACAAATCCGTGATCGAGTCACCAGCAATCTGAAGTTCTGATCCATCTAAGAGTCGGTAAGGTCTACTAAGCCCTGATGAAGGGCCCTCCCGAAAACGTTGGCTGTTGTATGTGATCTTGAGAAGGACAAATAAATCATTTGGACTGTTTGGTCTGGTGATTCGGTTCTATATATTTTGGCTTTTGACCACTGAGCCATAGCACTGAGCGGAGTGGCCCTCAAACCTCCCGGGCAAACATCAAAGGATCAGATGGTTGCATCTGTTGAACCATACATGGTCACACAATTTCAGGGATGAAGAAGCCACTTACCTCCATCACGGAGCCCTCCGAGCTGTAGAGAGCAGCCAGGACGGACTTCTGCAGAGGAGAGAAGAGGAAGGTCAGTCAGGCGAGGAAAGTGTGACGTCACACCGAGGACATGCAGATCAAAGCTGAACCCCGAAAACATGGAAGAAGTGCCCTTGTAGTGGGGCCCCTCCTGCACTGCCGGGGTCACATGCTCATTGCACTGCCGGGGTCACATGCTCATTGTTGCCTGGGGTATCCGGGAAAAGCACATTTATTTCTGGTCCCAGGCAGAGCCTCTGATAGAGGAGTACAGTCGGCCCTCTTGTATTGGCCCCGGGCCCCATCAGTTCAGCAGGGGCGTGGGAACAGGGAGGGGATCTCATGGGCCGGGGCTCCCAGTGACCTAACAAGATGTTCCTCAGATGCCATCAGGTCAGCAGAAAGGATCGGGGATAGAGAAGGAGCAGGCAGAGTACTCGTCCATGTCATGGGGATGGTGGGAACCCCTCATTATGGGCACAGTGGGGGGTACAGACCCGGGAACTCCGCACAGGGATGGCGGGAACCCCTCATAATGGGCACAGTGGGGGGTACAGACCTGGGAACTCGGCACAGGGATGATGGGAACCCCTCATAATGGGCACAGCGGGCGTACAGACCCTGGAACTCAGCACAGGGATGGTGGGAACCCCTCATAATGGGCACAGCGGGTGTACAGACCCAGGAACTCAGCACAGGGACAGTGGGAACCCCTCATAATGGGCACAGCGGGTGTACAGACCCGGGAACTCAGCACAGGGATGGTGGGAACCCCTCATAATGGGCACAGCGAGTGTACAGACCCGGGAACTCGGCACAGGGATGGTGGGAACCCCTCATAATGGGCACAGCGGGCGTACAGACCCGGGAACTCAGCACAGGGATGGTGGGAACCCCTCATAATGGGCACAGCGGGCGTACAGACCCGGGAACTCGGCACAGGGATGGTGGGAACCCCTCATAATGGGCACAGCGGGTGTACAGACCCAGGAACTGAGCACAGGGATGGTGGGAACCCCTCATAATGGGCACAGGGATGGTGGGAACCCATCATTATGGGCACAGTGGGGGGTACAGACCCGGGAACTCAACGCAGGGATGGTGGGAACCCCTCATAATGGGCACAGGGGGCTTACAGACCCGGGAACTCGGCACGGGGATGGTGGAAACCCTCATAATGGGCACAGTGGGGGTACAGACCCGGGAACTCAGCACAGGGATGGTGGGAACCCCTCATAATGGGCACAGCGGGTGTACAGACCCAGGAACTCAGCACAGGGATGGTGGGAACCCCTCATAATGGGCACAGAGGGTGTACAGACCCGGGAACTCGGCACAGGGATGGTGGGAACCCCTCATAATGGGGGGGTGTACAGACCCGGGAACTCAGCACAGGGATGGTGGGAACCCCTCATAATGGGCACAGCGGGTGTACAGACCCAGGAACTGAGCACAGGGATGGTGGGGAAACCCCTCATAATGGGCACAGGGATGGTGGGAACCCATCATTATGGGCACAGTGGGGGGTACAGACCCGGGAACTCAGCGCAGGGATGGTGGGAACCCCTCATAATGGGCACAGAGGGCGTACAGACCCGGGAACTCGGCACAGGGATGGTGGGAACCCCTCATAATGGGCACAGTGGGGCGTACAGACCCGGGAACTCGGCACAGGGATGGTGGGAACCCCTCATAATGGGCACAGCGGGTGTACAGACCCGGGAACTCAGCACAGGGATGGTGGGAACCCCTCATAATGGGCACAGCGGGTGTACAGACCCGGGAACTCAGCACAGGGATGGTGGGAACCCCTCATAATGGGCACAGTGGGGCGTACAGACCCGGGAACTCAGCACAGGGATGGTGGGAACCCCTCATAATGGGCACAGCGGGTGTACAGACCCGGGAACTCAGCACAGGGATGGTGGGAACCCCTCATAATGGGCACAGCGGGTGTACAGACCCGGGAACTCGGCACAGGGATGGTGGGAACCCCTCATAATGGGCACAGCGGGTGTACAGACCCGGAACTCGGCACAGGGATGGTGGGAACCCCTCATAATGGGCACAACGGGGTGTACAGACCCGGGAACTCAGCACAGGTATGGTGGGAACCCCTCAGGCATGTAAATGCATTGATATGGGTAATGTGAACGTACGGAGGCCACTTGGAAGGAGTTGTTGGTCCCCCGGTGGTCCAGGTCATGGCACATACAGGATACAAACAAGGCAAAGATTTCAATATCCCTAAAAAGAGGAAAAAAGAAAACAACAAATATATCAGAAAATTGAAATCATCTAAAAGTGAAAAAAAAAAAATGGCGCAAAGAAAGTCGCGTCCAAAACCAGCCCTGCCCCAGCTTCTCGGTGTCATCGGGAAAACAGAATCAGACCCGCCTGGCCTTCTTTGCTCCAATCACAGCGGTCGGCAGTTGTTAGTCCCGCCCCTGCGGAACCGACCTCTGTCTCTGTAGGAGAGCGCCATCTAGCAGGGCAGGGAAGGAGAGCGCCATCTGGCAGGGCAGGGAAGGAGAGCGCCATCTGGCAGGGCAGGGAAGGAGAGCGCCATCTAGCAGGGCAGGGAAGGAGAGCGCCATCTAGCAGGGCAGGGAAGGAGAGCGCCATCTGGCAGGGCAGGGAAGGAGAGCGCCATCTGGCAGGGCAGGGAAGGAGAGCGCCATCTAGCAGGGCAGGGAAGGAATGGGAACTCACTCCAGGTAGTTGACCAGCTCCAGGTTCTTGTAGAGGAGATAGCAGAAGTGGGTGACAGAGAAGGCGTGCATCCAGTTGTGATACGGGGGGTCCCTGTACCCCTTCTTCACCATAAGGCAAAACCTGCAGGAACCAATCACACCTCTGATCACCACATGTCCCTTAGACCACCCTAGATGACACCCACGTGTGACACCAGGGCCAATCTGACTGGGAAGGAAAGGGCTAGAGGGTGCTGGACGTCCTCTGACTGGCTGCAGCTTCTAATGTACATTGTGAGAAGCTCCCAGTGTGCGGAGACATCAGAGGACTGACGGGAGGACCGGAGTCCGGCTATAGTCAGAATCATAAGCCCCGCCCTCTCTGGATATAAGCCCCGCCCCTGTCATGCAATGTAAGAATCTAATTGACCAATGTGGGGCTCCAAATAAATGTAATATAAAAAAAGAAACATTGTGTCTAATTTAGCACAGCACAACTTCTGGGCCAAGGGTGTCACATACCTGACCAGTGACACCATACCTGACTAGTGACACCATACCTGACTAGTGACATCATACCTGACCAGTGACACCATACCTGACTAGTGACACCATACTGACTAGTGACATCATACCTGACCAGTGACACCATACCTGACTAGTGACACCATACCTGACCAGTGACACCTACCTGACCAGTGACGACATACCTGACCAGTGACAACATACCTGACTAGTGACACCATACCTGACTAGTGACACCATACCTAACTAGTGACACCATACCTGACCAGTGACACCTACCTGACTAGTGACAGTATACCTGACCAGTGACACCATACTTGACCAGTGACACCTACCTGACTAGTGTCAGCATACCTGACCAGTGACGATATACCTGACTAGTGACATCATACCTGACCAGTGACAACATACCTGACTAGTTACAGCATACCTGACCAGTGACAACATACCTGACCAGTGACACCATACCTGACCAGTGACGACATACCTGACTAGTGACACCATACCTGACCAGTGACGACATACCTGACCAGTGACGACATACCTGACTAGTGACAACATACCTGACTAGTGACACCATACCTGAATAGTGACACCATACCTGACCAGTGACACCTACCTGACTAGTGACAGCATACCTGACCAGTGACAACATACCTGACTAGTGACAACATACCTGACTAGTGACACCTACCTGACCAGTGACAACATACCTGACTAGTGACAACATACCTGACTAGTGACACCTACCTGACCAGTGACAACATACCTGACCAGTGACAGCATACCTGACTAGTGACACCTACCTGACCAGTGACACCATACCTGACCAGTGACAACATACCTGACCAGTGACAACATACCTGACTAGTGACACCTACCTGACTAGTGACAACATACCTGACTAGTGACACCTACCTGACCAGTGACAACATACCTGACCAGTGACAGCATACCTGACTAGTGACACCATACCTGACCAGTGACAACATACCTGACTAGTGACACCTACCTGACCAGTGACACCATACCTGACTAGTGACATCATACCTGACTAGTGACACCTACCTGACTAGTGACAGCATACCTGACCAGTGACACCATACCTGACTAGTGACACCATACCTGACCAGTGACACCATACCTGAGCAGTGACAACATACCTGACTATTGACACATACCTGAGCAGTGACAACATACCTGACTAGTGACACACACCTGACTAGTGACACCATACCTGACTAGTGACACCATACCTGAGCAGTGACACCATACCTGACTAGTGACACCATACCTGAGCAGTGACACCATACCTGACTAGTGACACATACCTGACTAGTGACACATACCTGACAGTGACACATACCTGACTAGTGACACATACCTGACTAGTGACACATACCTGACTAGTGACACATACCTGAGCAGTGACAACATACCTGACCAGGGTCGTCCGGTCTATCTTGTAGTTATTGAGGAAGCTCATGTCCTCAAACATACTGAGGATAGCCTACAGCAGGAGGAAACACGGACATGTCACCATACACATATAATACATGAGAAGTGCCGGACTGTAATCTGGGACAGCAGAATAGGATCCTCGCTCCAACAGCTAACAATCTAACAGAGCGCCCGGCAAATACAGAGTTCGAGTATGTCAGCCGTAAAAGGTGTCTCCTGGGATGGATTGGGGAAGGGTTAGGACCCCTGTCTGGTCCTTAATGCTGTCCAGGGCGGCGTTAGGGAGATTTCCCCTTATGCCTGGTCCTGGTGACAACAGGAAGTGAGGGAAGATCTGCAACGGGGACACAGCCATGAATAAAAATCCGGGGGGGGGGGGGGGGGGGGAATCATTTGTCATGTGACATCACTCACCATAGTAGTGTCGTCCTCAGGGAAGGATTGGGGGGTATTATGAGTACCGCCCCCCTCCCCCCGGGCTGTCATGTGACATCACTCACCATAGTAGTGTCGTCCTCAGGGAAGGACTGGGGGGTATTATGAGTACCGCCCCCCTCCCTCCGGGCTGTCATGTGACATCACTCACCATAGTAGTGTCGTCCTCAGGGAAGGATTGGGGGTATTATGGGTACCTGCCCTCCCTCCCCAAGGGCTGTCATGTGACATCACTCACCATAATGGTGTCGTCCTCAGGGAGCGGATGGGGGGGGGGGTACCGCGGGGGGTCATGTGGACATCATCACGGGGGTACCTGTCACCCCCCCCCCTCTCCCCCCAGGGCTGTCATGGACATCTCCCAACATAATAGTGTCGTCCTCGGGGGAGCGATTGGGGGGTATTATGGGTACCTGTCTCCCCCCCAGGGCTGTCATGTGACATCACTCACCATAGTAGTGTCGTCCTCAGGGAAGGATTGGGGGCTATTATGGTTACCGCCCCCCCTCCCCCCGGGCTGTCATGTGACATCACTCACCATAGTAGTGTCGTCCTCAGGGAAGGATTGGGGGGTATTATGAGTACCGCGCCCCCTCCCCCCCAGGGTTGTCATGTGACATCACTCACCATAGTAGTGTCGTCCTCAGGGAAGGATTGGGGGCTATTATGGTTACCGCCCCCCTCCCCCCGGGCTGTCATGTGACATCACTCACCATAGTAGTGTCATCCTCAGGGAAGGATTGGGGGCTATTATGAGTACCGCCCCCCTCCCCCCGGGCTGTCATGTGACATCACTCACGATAGTAGTGTCGTCCTCAGGGAAGGATTGGGGGGTATTATGGTTACCGCGCCCCCCTCCCCCCCAGGGCTGTCATGTGACATCACTCACCATAGTAGTGTCATCCTCAGGGAAGGACTGGGGGGGTGTATTATGGTTACCGCACCCCTCCCCCCCAGGGCTGTCATGTGACATCACTCACCATAGTAGTGTCGTCCTCAGGGAAGGATTGGGGGGTATTATGAGTACCGCGCCCCCTCCCCCCCAGGGCTGTCATGTGACATCACTCACCATAGTAGTGTCATCCTCAGGGAAGGATTGGGGGGTATTATGAGTACCGCGCCCCTCCCCCCGGGCTGCCATGTGACATCACTCACCATAGTAGTATCATCCTCAGGGAAGGATTGGGGGGTATTATGGGTACCTGTCCCCCCCAAGGGCTGTCATGTGACATCACTCACCATAATGGTGTCGTCCTCAGGGAGCGATCGGAGGGGGGGTATTACGGGTACCTGTCACCCCCCCCCCTCTCCCCCCAGGGCTGTCATGGGACATCACTCAACATAATAGTGTCATCCTCAGGGGAGCGATTGGGGGGTATTATGGGTACCTGTCTCCCCCCAAGGGCTGTCATGTGACATCACTTACCATAATGGTGTCGTCCTCAGGGAGCGATTGGGGGGGGGTATTACGGGTACCTGTCACCCCCCCCCCTCCCCCCAGGGCTGTCATGTGACATCACTCACCATAATAGTGTCGTCCTCGGGGAGCGATCGGGGGGTGTAGCAGAACTGTGAGAAGCTTGGATCGATCTGGGAGGTGCGCAGGATCCCTTTACTCTGTAACTTCTTTGTTTCCTCCTCGCACACCTACACAAAATACAACACAAGGTAGGTCAGTTCAGTGAGAAGTGTCAGCTCTGCAGCCAAACCCGGGGTATTCAGTACAGCTAAGGGCATCAGCAACCAATCAGAATTCAGCTCTCATCTATCTGACTGCATGTGGTTAAAGAATACATGTAGACGTGCCCCAATTTTTTTTTTGGGGGGGGGGGGTTTGGGGTGGTGCAGCCCACCATCCTACAAACCCACTCAGGAGGCGGGGCTTTGACGTCTCTGACTTTAGAGCTCCGACATGTGGTGACGCACCCTAGCGCTCTATGGCGTGCCGCGGCTCATAAAATCCGTGACTGGTTCCCTTTAATAGCACCGCATTGCCATTCCTTTAAACGCCAGGCCCTACGGTGGAATTTCAGGGCCATTAAGTCAGAAGATGGATGGCCGGGGCCCGAGGCGGCTGACTCGATGGGAAGTCCTGTCCAGAGCAGATATTCGATAAAACGGGGAATTGAGCGAATCTGCCTCCAGCTGGGCGTGGTAATAGTCCACCAGTCCACTAAGTGGAAATGAAGCCGGCTCAGTGCAGGTTATTGAGGCCCCGCGATAAATGTATGAGTCACCCCGGGGCCACGCCGCCTCTCCCCGCCTGAGCGCGGATAACGGCATTGGACGGGCAATTTACTGCCGATAATACGCCATGCTGATTGCTTTGGGAGTCATCAGAGCACCGAAGGATCGGCATATCCCTGACGGCTCACTGATAGAAGGTTCTGGGGAGGAAAGGGTGGTGATCACCAGAAGAAGCGAGATGTTCTCCTTCTTTCATTTTATATGACGGCTGATGTTGCGGTATCCATGGAGGACTTTTTCCAAGCAGAAAGGACTCCAAAAGGGAGGAGGGGTCCTTGAAATTTCGGTTTTACATTTATTAGTCATTTGCGGTAAAGAACACGTCAGTGAAGGTTCTCATAGATCCAGGTCATGGTATATCTGGATGTTTTGTAGCTCCTCCAAGCCACTTCTGAAGTTCTAACAAGCGTCCGGAGGACATACAATCTGACACCTTCATGGTACAGAATAACCAGGGGCGGACTGACCATTTGGAAACTCGGGCACTGGGTCAGTAGGGGGCCCCGTGAGATGCCCCTGGTACCTTTTTCATAGGCTTTTTTGAGTTTGGGCAAGAACACAGGGGCCCCATGATCCCCTATAGCCCGGGGGCCCCATGAGTTGTCAGTCCGCACCTGAGAATAACCCAACACGTTTCGAGGGCCATGGGCACCCCTTTCCTCAGGGATACTAAAGTGCAGCTGCAAGGATTAAAAAAGTGAAGTCAGTCTACGTACTTATTCTGTTACATTATCTACGTCCAAATCCGCTGAAACGCGTTGAATAATTCTGTAACATTATCAACTAATAAATGGATTCACTTAAAGTAGATAATGCTACAGCATACATCAACATGTTTCGGGCCTGAGGAAGCCCTGAGGAAGCTCTGAGGAAGGGAATGCTTTTGGCCGCTGAAACGCGTTGTATAATTCTGTTACATTATCAACTAATAAATGGATTCACTCAAAGTAGATAATGCTACAGCATACATCAACATGTTTCGGGCCTGAGGAAGCCCTCTGAGGAAGGGAATACTTTTGGCCGCTGAAACGCGTTGGATAATTCTGTTACATAATCAACTAATAAATGGATTCACTTAAAGTAGATAATGCTACAGCATACATCAACATGTTTTCAGGCCTGAGGAAGCCCTGAGGAAGGGAATGCTTTTGGCCGCTGAAACGCGTTGAATAATTCTGTTACATAATCAACTAATAAATGGATTCACTTAAAGTAGATAATGCTACAGCATACATCAACATGTTTCGGGCCTGAGGAAGCCCTGAGGAAGGGAATGCTTTTGGCCGCTGAAACGCGTTGAATAATTCTGTTACATAATCAACTAATAAATGGATTCACTTAAAGTAGATAATGCTACAGCATACATCAACATGTTTCGGGCCTGAGGAAGCCCTGAGGAAGCCCTGAGGAAGGGAATACTTTTGGCCGCTGAAACGCGTTGGATAATTCTGTAACATTATCAACTAATAAATGGATTCACTTAAAGTAGATAATGCTACAGCATACATCAACATGTTTCGGGCCTGAGGAAGCTCTGAGGAAGGGAATGCTTTTGGCCACTGAAACGCGTTGGATAATTCTGTTACATTATCAACTAATAAATGGATTCACTCAAAGTAGATAATGCTACAGCATACATCAACATGTTTTCGGGCCTGAGGAAGCCCTGAGGAAGGAAATGCTTTTGGATGTTGAAACGCGTTGGATAATTCTGTTACATTATCAACTAATAAATGGATTCACTCAAAGTAGATAATGCTACAGCATACATCAACATGTTTCGGGCCTGAGGAAGCCCTGAGGAAGGGAATGCTTTTGGCCGCTGAAACGCGTTGAATAATTCTGTTACATAATCAACTAATAAATGGATTCACTTAAAGTAGATAATGCTACAGCATACATCAACATGTTTCGGGCCTGAGGAAGCCCTGAGGAAGGGAATGCTTTTTGGCCGCTGAAACGCGTTGGGTAATTCTGTTACATTATCAACTAATAAATGGATTCACTTAAAGTAGATAATGCTACAGCATACATCAACATGTTTCAGGCCTGAGGAAGCCCTGAGGAAGGGAATGCTTTTGGCCGCTGAAACGCGTTGGTAATTCTGTTACATTATCAACTAATAAATGGATTCACTTAAAGTAGATAATGCTACAGCATACATCAACATGTTTTCGGGCCTGAGGAAGCCCTGAGGAAGGAATGCTTTTGGCTGCTGAAACGCGTTGGATAATTCTGTTACATTATCTACTTCAAAATCCGCTGAAACGCGTTGAATAATTCTGTAACATTATCAACTAATAAATGGATTCACTTTAAGTAGATAATGCTACAGCATACATTATTATTATTATTATTATACAGTATTTATAAAGCGCCAATAGTTCGCTCAGCGCTGTACATTACAAAGGGAGACAGAACATGTGACAGAACAATACCAATACAATGCAAAACATGAGGGGATCGTGGGCCCTGCTCTTTCGAGCTTACAATCACATCAACATGTTTCGGGCCTGAAGAAGCCCTGAGGAAGCCCTGAGGAAGCCCTGAGGAAGGGAATGCTTTTGGCTGCTGAAACGCGTTGGATGATTCTGTTACATTATCAGCTTATAAATAGATTTACTTTAGGTACATAATATTACATGTTTTGGGGGCCAAGTCCAGCCTTTTCCTCAGGGCTCTAATAGGAGGATACAATGGTTAAAAAAAAATGTAGTCGTGATTTAGTAGCCCCGAGGAAGGGAGTGAATTTGGCCCCTGAAACGTGTTAGTATTTGTAACATTATCAACTATTAGCTCTCCCCTGGACCTTTGTTTTGATGCTCATACCCCCTCTTATACTGAGGTCTGAAATGTCCCTGTAGGCCCACTTCTCATCTATAGGGCCCCTTAGTGTTTTAAGCCCCATCAGGAATCACAGGGCCCATAGCACGATGGCTTACGCAACCCACCTTGAAAGGAAACCTTTCCTTAGAGAAACTTGGAAAATGCTAGATGACTGGCCGTCCTCCTGACCCTCTGGTTCCAGTACATCGAATCACTGACCCAGAAGAAGCACACAGCTAAGAATGAACGACTTTACTCCACCCGTCTGGAACTCGATGCGTGTTCCAGGTCAGTGACTCTGAGATTTCTTCTCACTTCCTGTCGTGTCCCCCGGGACAGGAAGTGAAGATGAATCTCAACGACAGGAAAATGAACTGCACAAGCTGCGAACGTCTTCTTACCTTCATGTGATACATCATCATCTCATTGGCCAGGTGACTCCTGAACTGCGCCTCATGCACTTGCTTGTACAGCAAGGACTGTGGGGGGGGGGGAGAAAACAACCACAAATTAGGATCAAGTCACTTAAAGGGGAACAAATATGTTTTTATGTAACTTTTTCTTCATATTTTATGTCCACTACAAAAAAAAAAATAAAACTTAAATTTTTTTTGATCACCTTAATAATGAATGGCATTCAATAAAGATTTTCTACAGACAATTTAGCACCATTATCATATATTGGCGACAGATTCTGTAGGCCTTTACACTGGACTTTTCAGACCAGTCCCCGCCCTAGAGGAGCTTTTCTGTTTTCATATTGTGAGTTGAAGGCACTCTTCCTATTACCTGTAACCAAGCAGTGTGGGTTTGCTACACTATACAGCTTTCCACCACTATCCTACATTGGCAACAAATTCTGTAGCCCTTTACAGAGTACACTGAGCCTTCCAGATTAGACCCCACCCTAGAGGAGCTCATAGTTTATGTTTTCAGATTGAGGGTTGGAGGAACACTTTCCAGTACCTTCAACCAGCCAACCTGAGTCCAGTACACTATACAGTTTCTCCACCACCAATATCATATATTGGCAACAATTTTCTGTAAAACTTTACACTGAGCCTTTCAGATCAATTCCCACCCTAGAGGAGCTTTTCTGTTTTCAGATTGTGAGTTCCAGATCAGACCCCACCCTAAAGGAGCATTTCTCTTTTCAGATTGTGAGTTGAAGGCACTCTTCCCAAAATCTTTAACCATCCAGCATGGGTTTGGTACACTATACAGTTTCTCCACCACTATCCTACATTGGCGACAAATTCTGTAGCCCTTTACAAAGTACACAGAAACTTTCAGATCAGTTCCCGCCCTAGAGGAGCTTTTCTGTTTTCAGATTGTGAGTTCCAGATCAGACCCCACCCTAGAGGAGCTCATAGCTTTATGTTTTCAGATTGAGGGTTGGAGGAACACTTCCCTGTACCTTCAACCAGCCGACCTGGGTCCGGTACACTATACAGTTTCTCCACCAATATCAAATATTGGCAACAATTGCTGTAAAACCGTACACTGAGCCTTTCAGATCAGTTCCCACCCTAGAGGGAGCATTTCCCTTTTCAGATTGTGAGTTGAAGGCACTCTTCCCAATACCTTTAACCAGCCAGCGTGGGTTTGGTACACTATACAGTTTCTCCACCGCTATCCTACATTGGCAACAACTTCTGTAGCCCTTTACAGAGTACACTGAGCCTTCCAGATCAGACCCCACCCTAGAGGAGCTCATAGCTTTATGTTTTCAGATTGAGGGTTGGAGGAACACTTCCCAATACCTTCAACCAGCCAACCTGAGTCCAGTACACTATACAGTTTCTCCACCAATATCATATATTGGCAACAATTGCTGTAAAACTTTACACTGAGCCTTTCAGATCAGTTCCCGCCCTAGAGGAGCTTTTCTGTTTTCAGATTGTGAGTTCCAGATCAGACCCCACCCTAGAGGAGCTCATAGCTTTATGTTTTCAGATTGAGGGTTGGAGGAACACTTCCCAGTACCTTCAACCAGCCATCCTGGATCCGGTACACTATACAGTTTCTCCACCGAAATATCATATATTGGCAACAATTTTCTGTAAAACTTTACACTGAGCCTTTCAGATCAATTCCCACCCTAGAGGAGCTTTTCTGTTTTCAGATTGTGAGTTGAAGGCACTCTTCCCAATACCTTTAACCAGCCAGAATGGGTTTGGTACACTATACAGTTTCTCCACCGCTATCCTACATTGGCAACAAATTCTGTAGCCCTCCTCTTTACAGAGTACACTGAACGTTCCAGATCAGACCCCACCCTAGAGGAGCTCATAGGTTTAGGTTTTCAGATTGAGGGTTGAGGAACACTTCACCCAATGCCTTCAACCAGCCAACCTGGGTCCAGTACACTATACAGTTTCTCCACCAATATCATATATTGGCAACTAAATTGCTGTAAAACTTTACACTGAGCCTTCCAGATCAGTTCCCGCCCTAGAGGAGCTTTTCTGTTTTCAGATTGTGAGTTCCAGATCATACCCCACCCTAGAGGAGCTCATAGCTTTATGTTTTCAGATTGAGGGTTGGTGGAACACTTCCCAATACCTTCAACCAGCCAACCTGGGTCCAGTACAATATACAGTTTCTCCACCACTATCCTACATTGGCAACACATTCTATAGCTCTTTACAGAGTACACTGAAACTTCCACATCAGACTCCACCCTAGAGGAGCTCATAGATTTATGTTTTCAGATTGAGAGTTGGAGGAACATTTCCCATTACCTTCAACCAGCCAACCTGGGTCCAGTACACTATACAGTTTCTCCACCAATATCATGTATTGGCAACAATTGCTGTTTAAAAACGTTACACTGAGCCTTTCAGATCAGTTCCCGCCCTAGAGGAGCTTTTCTGTTTTCAGATTGTGAGTTGAAGGCACTCTTCCCAATACCTTTAACCAGCCAGAATGGGTTTGGTACACTATACAGCTTTTCCACCATTCTGATATATGGGCAACAATTTCTGTAAAACTTTACACTGAGCCATTCAGATCAGTTCCCACCCTAGAGGAGCTTTTTCTGTTTTCACCCACCCAAGAGGAGCTCACAGCTGCCAGATCAGTTCTCACCATAGAGGCGCTCACAGCTGCCAGTAACACCCTTCCTGTCCTAGGGTTCTAGGTATCCATGGAGGAACAGTGTTGTCACCCTAGGTTAAGCTCCTGATTTTGGCCCCCCACTATGGAAAAATGAACCCAACTCAGCATGATCACCATTATCATCCCTTGCTGGTTGAAAGCCCAAGAATAAGACTTCCATTTCCAGCTGGAGAAAAGGGAGGTGCCAACCCGAAGTACGTCATTTATGAAAGTTCCCCGTATCTTCCAGTATATGACCCTGGAGCAGCAACTTACGGTGAGCAATGCTGATTCCCGCAGTATATGGAAAATGCCGTGGCCAGATCTTCATCAAACTTGGTGAATCCTGGCCCGTTAATTTTGTTGACCAGTTCTGCCACACCGATGACCTCTGCAATAGAGAACAGCTTCAATCAACATATTTATCTGATATTTATTTATCTGAAACAAATCTTGTAGACCTTTACAGAACACAGGGATCCTTTCAGATCAGTGCCCACCCAATGAGGAGCTCACAGATTCATAAATTCGGATTGTGAGTGAAAGCCATGCAGTGTATGCTCCTGAGTACCCGTATCCAGCCAACCTGGGTCTGGTATACTATACAGTTTCTCCATGATCATCATTTATTGGCAACAGATTCTGTAGTCCTTTACAGAGTACACTCCACCTATCAGATCAGTCCCCACCCCAGAGGAGCTCACAGCATTGTTTTCATAGGTTAAGGGTAGGAGGCACGCTACCTATAACCAGCCAACCTCTGTATTGTACACTACGCATGTTCTCCACTGTTATCTTACAGTGCCATCAAATTCTGTAGGCTTTTACAGAGTAAAAGGTGATCGGGGGTGCCGGGGTGATCAGGGGGGTGCTGAGGTGATCAGAGGTGCTGAGGTGATCAGGGGGTGCTGAGGTGATCAGAGGGGGTCGGGGGTTATCAGGGGGGTACTGGGGTGATCAGGGGTGCTGGGGGGTTATCAGGGATGTTGGGACTGATCATGGGTGCGGGGGTGATCAGGGGTACTGAGATGATCATGGATACCGGGGTGATCAGGAATACCGGGGTGATCAGGGGTAATGGGGTGATCAGGGATGTCAGGATGATCATGGGAGCCGGGGTGATCAGGGGTACTGGGATGATCATGGATACCCGGGGTGATCAGGAATACCGGGAAGAATCTCAGGGGTAATGGGGTGATCAGGGATGTCAGGATGATCATGGGTGCCGGGGTGATCAGGGGTACTGGGGATGATCATGGATACCGGGGGTGATCAGGGTACTGGGGTGATCAGGGTTACTGGGGTGATCAGGGGTACCGGAGTGATCGGGGGTGTCGAGGTGATCAGGGGTACCAGGGTGATCAGGGGTACTGGGATGATCATGGGTGCTGAGGTGATCAGGGGTACCGGGGTGATCAGGGGTGCTGAGGTGGATCAGGGATGTCGGGATGATCATGGGTGCCGGGGTGATCAGGTGTACTGGGGATGATCAGGGGGACTGGGGTGATCAGGGGTACCAGGGTGATCAGGGGGACTGGGGTGATCAGGGGGACTGGGGGTGATCAGGGGACTAGAGTGGTCAGGGTGGTGAGGTGATCAGAGGTACCAGGGGTGATCAGGGGGACCGGGGGTGATCAGGGGGACTGAGGTGATCAGGGGAATGGAGTGGTCAGGGTTACTGAGGTGATCAGGGGTACCAGGGTGATCAGGGGGACCGGGGGGTGATCAGGGGACTGGGGTGATCAGGGGGACTGGATCGGTGGTCAGGGGGACTGGAGTGGTCAGGGGTGCTGAGCTGATCAGGGGTACCAGGGTGATCAGGGGGACAGGGGGTGATCTGGGGGGACTGTTGGTGATCAGGGGGACTGGGGTTATCAGGGGTACCAGGGTGATCAGTGGGGACTGGGGTGATCAGGGGGAATGGAGTGGTCAGGGGTACTGAGGTGATCAGGGGTACCAGGGTGATCAGGGGGACCGGGGTGATCAGGGGGACCCGGGGGTGATCAGGGGGACTGGGGTGATCAGGGGGACCTGGAGTGGTCAGGGGGACTGGAGTGGTCAGGGGTGCTGAGGTGATCAGGGGTGCCGGGGTGATCAGGGGGACCGGGGTGATCAGGGGGGACCGGGATGATCAGGGGGGACTGGGGTGATCAGGGGGACTGGGGTGATCAGGGGGACTGGGGTGATCAGGGGAACCGGGGTGATCAGGGGGGACCGGGGTGATCAGGGGTTCCGGGGTGATTCAGGGGTTCCGGGGTGATCAGGGAATTCTGTTGAGGACTGGACTTGATTAGTATTTCTAGGGCTGCAATCTCCTGAGACACATCACCCAGGTGTAAGGATCAACCAATAGGCAACATGGCCAGAGGCCCCTCCCCCAGACTCGTGTCATACTCATCCTCCAGACTCACCATTGTTCTCATTCTTAATAGGGAAACACAGGATATATTTCGGGTCCTGAAGCCGGTGCTGTCATCCACTAACCGCGGTAGAAGAGAGGATGGGAATAGGCATCTTTGATGTTGAGGATCTGCCCGGTGGTGGCCACATGTCCTGCGATCCCCTGATCTGCCGGGATCCGGATCTCGTAGCTCTGGAAGGGAAATACAGAACCTGAAACCTGTGATAGAGATCGGCTGCTGCAGGGGAGAGGAGGGATCACCGGCCATTCACAGCCATTGCTGAGCACTCCCTTACACAGGGAAGCCACAACGGCAGGATCATGTTGACCACAATGGAGCAGATTAAAAAAAGGTATTTACAAACCAATCCATCCAATCCATCCAATCCATCACCATCCATCCATTCCATCCATCCATCCAGTCCAATCCAATCCATCCGTCCATCCATCCATGTCCATCCATCCAATCCATCCAATCCATCCGTCCATCCATCCAGTCCATCCAATCCATCCATCCAATCCATCCAGTCCATCCATCCATCCATCCAATCCATCCATCCATCCATCTATGCAATCCATCCAATCCATCCGTCCAATCCATCCATCCAATCCATTCATCCAATCCATCCATCCATCCAATCCATCCGTCCAATCCATCCATCCGTCCAATCCATCCATCCCCAATCCCCTATTCTCCTCTCACCTCATCATCTAGGGGGGGGAATGACTCCTCCATCGAACACTTTGGCTACCAGTTCATGAGTGTTTCTCTCCAGCAGGAACACCGAGCATCTGTGGATAAGAGGACATGGCGGTGAGTTCCCAGGTCTGTAAGCCCGCTGTGCCCATTATGAGGGGTTCCCACCATCCCTGTGCTGAGTTCCCGGGTCTGTACACCCACTGTGCCTGTTATGAGGGGTTCCCACCATCCCTGTGCTGAGTTCCCGGGTCTGTACCCCCCACTGTGCCCATTATGAGGGGTTCCCACCATCCCTGTGCCGAGTTCCCGGGTCTGTACAACCACTGTGCCATTATGAGGGGTTCCCATCCCCATCCCTGTGCCGATGTTCCCAGGTCTGTAAGCCCGCTGTGCCCATTATGAGGGGTTCCCACCATCCCTGTGCTGAGTTCCCGGGTCTGTACACCCGCTGTGCCTGTTATGAGGGGTTCCCACCATCCCTGTGCTGACTTCCCGAGTCTGTACACCTGCTGTGCCCGTTATGAGGGGTTCCCACCATCCCTGTGATGTACTGGAGAATGTCTCAAGAGCTGATATATCCCTGGGGCTGATGCTGTGTCTATGGAACATCTGCCTGTGTATGGGGAGAGGGCGGGACGTACATCTCTGCGTTGCTGAGGTTCCTGGCTTCTGTGATGATCTCCTGGAGCAGGACAGACACATCATCTGTGGAGAGAGCGGAGACCCCAAATTCAGAAGGATTTCTCTACAGAACAATTTTTAAAAAAACAATAAAAGGGGATCTCCCCACAACAGGGCCACATGTGACTGCAGTGCCCCGTAAGTCATTCAGCAGAGATTGCGCCACCAAATGAGCAGATATGGATATGTTAGCAGCACTGCGAGGAGCTGGGGGGCAACCTTTTCTCCAGTATATGAAGGCTAAAAAGGGACAGAAAAAAAAAAAACTCATTTTTACAGTCTGTGTCCCTCCTGGGAACATTTCCCGTTCCAGTAACCCCGCCCCTGAGGAGTATTACAGGAGGTTAACCATTGGCAGAGTCCATGTAATCTCTTCTCAGAAGTGTGGAGGATCGGTGCCATGTGTGGAAAGATAGGTTGGCCCAAATCGAGGGACCTTCCTGGATGGTGCAAACGATGGCAGATGATGACTGGCCCCGGGCAGGACTAATTGCATTGGGGTTTTTTGCTCAAAGTGGACCTGTCACTGTGAACAAGGTTTCTCATCCAAGGTTCCATGAAACCCTAGGGTTCCTCTAGAGCAGGGTTTCCATCAACCAGGTTTTTTCAACCAAGGTTCCATGAAAAACTCTAGGGTTCCTCTAGAATAGAGGGTTTTTTCAACCAATGTTCCATGAAACACTAGGGTTCCTCTACAGCAGGGTTTCTCAGAAACCAGGGTTCCATGAAACGCTAGGGTTCCTCTAGAGCAGGGTTTCTCAACCAGGGTTCCATGAAACGCTAGGGTTCCTCTAGAGATGGATTTTTTTTCAACCAAGAGATGGTTTTTTCCATGAAACACTAGGGTTCCTCTAGAGCAGGGTTTCTCAACCAGGGTTCCATGAAACCCCAAGGTTCCTCTAAAGATGGGTTTTTCAGCCAATGTTCCATGAAACCCTAAGGTTCCTCTAGAGATGGGTTTTTCAACCAATGTTCCATGAAACACTAGGGTTCCTCTAGAGCAGGGTTTTTCAACCAAGGTTCCATGAAACCCTAGGGTTCCTCCAGAGCAGGGTTTCTTAACCAGGGTTCTATGGAAGCCTGAGGTTCCTCTAGAGCAGAGTTTCTCAACCAGGGTTCCATGAAACACTAGGGTTTATCTATAGATGTGTTTTTCAACCAAGGTTCCATGAAACCCTAAGGTTTCTCTAGAGCAGGGTTTCTTAACCAGGGTTCCATGAAACACTAGGGTTTATCTATAGATGTGTTTTTCATTCAAGGTTCCATGAAACCCTAGGGTTCCTCTAGAGCAGGGTTTCTCAACCAGGGTTCCATGAAACACTAGGGTTCCTCTATAAATGTGTTTTTCAACCAATGTTCCATGAAACACTAGGGTTCCTCTAGAGATGGGTTTTTCAACCAATGTTCCATGAAACACTAGGGTTCCTCTAGAGATGGGTTTCTTAACCAGGGTTCCATGAAACACTAGGGTTCCTCCAGAGCAGGGTTTCTCAACCAGGGTTCTATGGAAGCTCGAGGTTCCTCTAGAGCAGAATTTCTCAACCAGGGTTCCATGAAACACTAGGGTTCCTCTAGAGCAGGGTTTCTCAACCAGGGTTCCATGAAACACTAGGGTTCCTCTAGAGATGGGTTTTTCAACCAACGTTCCATGAAACACTAGGGTTCCTCTAGAGATGGGTTTTTCAACCAATGTTCCATGAAACACTAGGGCTCCTCTAGAGATGGGCATTTCAACCAATGTTCCATGAAATCCTAGGGTTCCTCTAGAGCAGGGATTTTAACCAGGGTTCCTATGGAAATCCTGAGGTTCCTCTAGAGCAGGGTTTCTCAACCAGGGTTCCATGAAACACTAGGGTTCCCCTAGAGATGGTTTTTCAACCAGGGTTCCATGAAACCCTAGGGTTCCTCTAGAGCAGGGTTTCTCAACCAGGGTTCCATGAAACACTAGGGTTCTCTAGATTGGGTTTCTTAACCAGGGTTCCATGAAAGCTTAGGGTTCCTCTAGAGCAGGGTTTCTTAACCAGGGTTCCATGAAACCCTAGGGTTCCTCCAGAGCAAGGTTTCTTAACCAGGGTTCTATGGAAGCCTGAGGTTCCTCTAGAGCAAAGTTTCTCAACCAGGGTTGCCAGGGGTTTCTTGAGCAATTAGCATTTTCTGACTCTCAGATAAGTTCCCACTGACACCATTGATCTTTTTAGCTATCTATAAGGGGGTAATTCTTCCCAATGGCCACAAGTGTAAGAAGCATTCTTCCCAAAAAATAGAAAATTTAGCAGGTGTTGTCTGAGAGAGGAAAGTTATTTCAAGGGTTCCTCTGTGTTGAAAAGGTAAAGAAAGGCTGCTCAAGAGGTTGCTAAGGGTTCCTTGAGCTGCGACCGATCGATCTCCCATTTGTTGGTGCCTGCATAGTTTCAGGACCAACACTACTTGGCAAATCCAGCAGCATGACACCAATGATCTTTTTTACTTGCCTGGAAGGGTAGCATTCTAACCACCACTAAGGTTTTATTCTTCCTACTGGAATTTTTCCCATTGCTGCATATGAATTGATTTCAGTACGGGTTCTCCAAGACTTGAAAATTATTTAAGGGTTCCTCTGGGGTAAAAAGGTTTGAGAAAGGCTGCTTTGGACTATAGCGCCCCTTTTTTTTAAACATTCATCCCTTTACCTACCATCGTCATATCACCCTCACTCCTGCCCTCTCCCTACTCATCAGCTCTTTCAGCACAGTTTAGGTCCTATTAATCTACCCTCTGAAATGCCCACCCTGTCTGTAATAAGCTCACTTCTGTCCATGATCTTCTTATCTTCAACTCTCCTAACCTACTTGCTATTAATGAAACCCGGAATGTGCCTCTACCTCTCCAGCTGCCCTGTCCCATAGTGACCTCCACTGGACTCACCACGACCTAGTAGATGAAAGGGAGGTTGCTTTGGACACTTTCTATCCTGAAAAGGCACCTTTCACGTTCTCCCTACACCTCCATCTTTGCCTTTCTCGTGTTTGAAGCTCCCTGTATTCCTCTCTTTTCTCTGATTTCTCTGAGGATTGCTGTGATCTATTGGCCTCCTGGACCGGCTTCATGCTGCCTTCGATGACTTCTATGCCTGGCAACCGTGCTTTCTCACCTCTGAAACACCCACTATAATTCATGGTGACTTCAATATCCTTGTTAATTCTAACATCCCAAAGACCTTTCAAATCCTCAAGCTAATGTCATTATTTGACCTAACACAAGGGGCACCCTTCTACTCATTCTGATCTCTCTTTCCCTTCTAAAAGTTGACTTACTAGCTGCTGAAGCCATACAAATATAGTTGACCACCTGCTCTTCCCCAAAAAACTCCACTCCCTAGGCTTGCTTGACTCCGCTCTTTCCTGATTTTCCTCTTATCTCAGAACACCTTCAGTGTCACCTACAACTCTATCTCCTCCTCTCTTCTTCCTATTTCTATAGCAGTCCCCAGGGCTCTGTCCTCGGCACTCCTCTATTCGCAATCCCACCTCCCTGGTAGAGTTGATCATCTCTTATGGTCTCCAGTGCTTCTATATTTAGGCTGTACCTTTACTATAGAAAATTGACTCTGGATGGACATTTGGATAAATGGCTCTATATTTAGGATGTGTCCAGTCTATAAACCAGAGGCTCTGGGTGTACAGTTGGATAAATGGTTCTATATTTAGGATGTGTCCAGTCTATAAACCAGAGGCTCTGGGTGTACAGTTGGATAAATGGTTCTATATTTAGGATGTATCCGGTCTATAAACCAGAGGCTCTGGATGGACAGTTGGATAAATGGCTCTATATTTAGGATGTATCCGGTCTATAGACCAGAGGCTCTGGATGGACAGTTGGATAAATGGTTCTATATTTAGGATGTATCCGGTCTATAAACCAGAGGCTCTGGGTGTACAGTTGGATAAATGGTTCTATATTTAGGACGTATCCGGTCTACAAACCAGAGGCTCTGGGTGTACAGTTGGATAAATGGCTCTATATTTAGGATGTATCCGGTCTATAAACCAGAGGCTCTGGGTGTACAGTTGGATAAATGGTTCTATATTTAGGACGTATCCGGTCTACAAACCAGAGGCTCTGGGTGTACAGTTGGATAAATGGCTCTATATTCAGGATGTATCCGGTCTATAAACCAGAGGCTCTGGGTGTACAGTTGGATAAATGGTTCTATATTTAGGACGTATCCGGTCTATAAACCAGAGGCTCTGGGTGTACAGTTGGATAAATGGTTCTATATTTAGGACGTATCCGGTCTATAAACCAGAGGCTCTGGGTGTACAGTTGGATAAATGGCTCTATATTTAGGATGTATCCGGTCTATAAACCAGAGGCTCTGGGTGTACAGTTGGATAAATGGCTCTATATTTAGGATGTATCCGGTCTATAAACCAGAGGCTCTGGGTGTACAGTTGGATAAATGGCTCTATATTTAGGATGTATCCGGTCTACAGACCAGAGGCTCTGGATGGACACTTGGAGTACGCCCTTTCATAGCTCTAACATACGCGATATCACACCACATTATTTTTCTTACTTAAAGCGGTGGCGTCTCAGTTACAAGGAGCATCAATTCCCTCTTGTCTGCTAAGTGTTCAGTAATAGCTGATATTTGGCTTCCGAAGAAGGAACATTTAATCACTCGTAAAGGTTATTAAAATGTCACCCCGCCACGTTATGACAGGCAGCATTTAATCCACTGATAAAGCGGTTTACAGCGCCGACCGGGAGCGCCATGTCTCCATTACCAGGTGCCTCCCTGATAATTTCAGCTCGGAGTAATTTGTCTGCTTTCATGTTCCCAAATTCATATTTGTGATGGATTCTCGCCTCATTCGAAGGTAAGAGCGTGACGCCGCCACCGATAATTCATTTTAATTATTTTTCGTACATCAGCGGAGAAACACAAAGTAGCCGTCAGCTAGGAGCAGCAGACTGAGGTCTGAGCTACGAGGGAAGGAGAACACGTGAGCCTGTGATTCATACCACCAGAATACATCTAATAAACCTGTAATTTCTTGATACAATGTATCCCTCACCATTTATGAATTGCTGCATGAGCGGAGATCAAATTTTGGGATGAAATTAAGGATGGATGGATGAGTGAGTGGATGAATGGATGAATAGGTGGGTGGAGGAATGGGTGGATGGATGGAGGAGTAGGTGGGTAGATGATGGATGGATGGGAGGGTGGATGGGTAGGTGGGTCGAAGATGGATGAGTGAATGGATGAATAGGTGGGTGGATGGAGGGATGAGTAGGTGGGTGGATGATGGATGGATGGGAGGGTGGATGGGTAGGTGGGTCGAAGATGGATGAGTGAATGGATGAATAGGTGTTTGGATGGAGGGATGAGTAGGTGGGTGGATGATGGATGGATGGGAGGGTGGACAAATGGATGGGTGGGTGGATGGATGAATGGATGAATAGGTGGGTGGAGGAAAGAGTGGATGGATGGAGGAGTAGGTGGGTGGATGATGGATGGATGGAAAGGGTGGATGGGTAGGTGGGTCGATGATGGATGAGTGAATGGATAAATAGGTGGGTGGATGGATGGATGAATAGGTGGGTGGTTGATGGATGGATGGGAGGGTGGATGGGTAGGTGGGTCGATGATGGATGGGTGGGTGGATGGACGAATGGATGGATAAATGAATGGATGAATTGGTGGGTGGATGGATGGGTAGGAGGGTGGATGGATGGGTGGGTGGGTATATGGATGGATAGTTGGGTGGATGGGTTCTGTGTACTGGTGGAGGAGGTGACATTTTTGCTGATGTTATCCCTTTGGCCACATGTATCCGTAAATGAATTCATAATGTGGTGGTAAATAAATCGAGGCGTGCAATTAAAACCGAGCACACGATGAGGTATGTGAGTGGAGATGGCCTTCAGTGAAAACTATATCCACAAACCATCAGAAGACAGAGGGAGAAAGAAAACCGAAAGCAGGTCAAAATGGAAACTTTTCCTGTAATGCTGAATTTGGATCCACCCTCTCTTGCTCAATGGTGACCCTTAAATATGATGGAGAGCCTTGCTGGCCAATTACGAGGCTCAGGATTGTCACACTAAGTTCACTCATCTGTGCACCTTCTATCTGTGGACCACAGTTGTCTCAGGACAGAAGGTGACTTTCGGGAGATGTCCTTTCTCTTTTATGTTGGGTCTCCAAGAAGTGAAGGCCCCACAAAAAAAACTCATAGGGGGTTTCAATCATGCCTTACTCTATCCAAAACAAAAGTCTGGGCTCTAGATATCCCTTGATTACATTTCAGGCTGTTAGGTTTGCCCAAGCTTGTGATATATTTACCTTAAGACCAAACAAACTAATTGGTGGATACGACTGGTAGAAGGAAGTTTCTCCAGTAGATAGTCGGACCAACTCACTAAGCAGAAGATAAGTGAAAATAGGGCAGGCCAAACTGTATGCTTCTCCTTCAAGTAGTTGAAGGAATTTGGACCTCATATATGGAGAACATGGAGAGGCTCCTCGGGGGCTGTACCAGGCATATCCATCTGGAAGGAGCTCCCCAGGATAAGAACACACAGGTTGACATCTTCTATCCAGGCCTGGAAATGACCAGAAGGACACTACTGATGAAGACCACACAAATGACCAAAATCACTCACGATCCAAGAGCAGTGGGATCACTTTGTGAAATCTACATGGTCATACATGACCAAAGATGGCTCCGTCCTTCTGGAGAGAAAAGCAGATGAAGGCATTTTTCTTTATGAAGTTTCCTTAATGAACACAAAGAGCGACTGGAACTGATCGCTCACTGTGTTCATTCATAACTGAAGCGTAGAAAACTGTTTTTTTTTTTGGGCAGTGGGGGGGGGACAAGGCCTGTCGGGTTAGCTGTACGGGGCCCCGTGGTTTCTAACAGCAGCCTTGTCTACGAGGAACAAAATAGCTAAGCATACAAAGACAACGCAAAGGACGCAGTGGGCGGCCGGGAGGTGTAGGGAATGCATGGTGAGACCACGGTGATTGCCTAAATCAGGTGTTTTCATAGCAGAGGAACCGTGTCATTTCCACCCCATGACCAGGCTATTTCTTTGTACCATCTACTCCAGATGCTGAGGATTTCAATCACCATACGAAGATGAGAAGAAGAGGAACTCACCCAAGTGTGTGAAGAGATTTTTGGCAACTTGCAAAAGGGCCTGTGAAGGGAAAAAAAAAAGAAGAAAAGAGTTAATTTTATTGAGGATTTAAAAAGGTCATGTACATTTTTATCTCCGTGGTGGACTCCATAACCCGACACACATTACCCGTCCCATAGCGTGCACTTAAGAAGGGTGAATGGGCCCTCAAAGCAGACCTTCACTTCCCGGATCATCTGAAGCTCTGTGCACGGCTGCTACTGTGGCAGCACCCAAATATTGCAGAGTTCCCCTTTAAACGTTAACATTTCTAACAGTATCTGCTTGCAAAGCAAGGTTTTCAGCTCATTTCCCCCTCCCTTATTTCCTGTGAAGTAGTGTGTTTCACCCTTAAGCTAGCACCCTTATCTGTAGCTGGAATTCAAGGTTATATTCTGCAGAGTTTAGAAAGTCTTTTGAATGTATAGAAAGTGAAAGAGGAAAAATATGCACTGTGAAGTAATCATTGGTATATACGCTTGTAAGAAGTGGATACAACTCACTCGGCTTTACAGGCATGTGCCTGACTGGGTCAAACAGAGCTGTTTTAATAAATCACTTGTTTTCCTCAAGGTCCATGTTCGGAGTTTCCTGGTTTTCCAAAATTGCTACTACACTACCCTCTGCAATATCAATCTGCACTTTTATTTTTTACAACATAGGTCTGGCCCCTGGCCTAGGCAAAATTGACATTGATGTGTGTTGCCCTTCCAAGTGCTCCTTGCAGCAAATAGTTATAGGTTGGTGTGGTTACCATTTGTTTGCATAGTTGATGAATGGTGCAGGGATGCACTTGATGCCTTCAGCTGCCATTGGGCTCTTGCTGGGTGTCCCGTGCTCCCCTGTACCTTTAAGGAGGAGTGGGATCCCTCCAGGCATACCTGCCCCTAATCTATCCACTGCTATATGTGCTCCTACTTCCAGGGTCATGGATAAGGGGGTACCACCGGTCCTCCTGTATGGGGCCCAGGCCAGAAGGGGGGCCCAGGCAGCTGGGAAAATCGGATGTGTGTAGGGAGGGTGATCCCCTGTATGGCTCTCTTGCAGCAGCTGAAAACTGACTTCTTCTCCTCTCCTTCCCGATAGCATTCAGCTGCTGCAGAGAGAGAGAGAGACATCAGGGGGTCAGTTCCAGTAATTGCCCCCCTGCCGCATCCATCACCTCCCTGTGCACCATACATTGTTGCCCAGGCCCCTCTGTGTGCCCACCCCTGCAGTGCTCCTTGGTTCCCTCCTCTCCTTCCCACCAGTAACTGCAAGCACACAATAGGATCCTTCAGGATGATGAATACAGGCAGTGATTGGTACCTATTACTCACTGTGTTCATTCATAACTGAAGCATAGTAAACTGTTTTTTTTTTTTTTGGGGGGGGTGGGGCTCTCAGGTTTGCCGTATGGGGCCCCATGGTTTCTAACAGCAGCCCTGCCTACTTCGGAGACTTGGGATGGTCTCCATTTGTTTGTATTGGAATTGATATGTGCCTGCTGCCTCAGCCTCCTGGGATTTCATCTCGCATATCCCAGGATGCCGCAGGAGCAGGGAGTGCCGGAGATGTGGTCACCATCCGAGGAAGTGGTAGCGGCTTCCAATGACTGAGAAGGACCAAGATGGCAGCACGGGACTTTGGCTGCTGCACCTGAGCTGCGGATTACAGCAGGACAACGCTTGATCCACTGGGCAAGCGAGAATCTAAATCGAGGAAAACGCTGAATGACAGGTAAGTGTACCTAACGAAAAAGTGCACCTAACCTTTGTGTCTCCTTCCTCTGAAGGAACCTAACCCACCACCCCCCACCCAGCGGTGTATTTAGGTTTTGTGCTGCCCTAGGCAACACAAAAATTGGAGCCCCCCGCCGCAGAAAGAGCCTGACATTGACCATGAACACCCCTGCCCTCCACTACCACTGCCCCCCAGACACCAGACACCATCCCCCATGGTGAGAGAGAGGAAGACACTCACCTTCACAGCTCCGGACATCCCCAGGAATGAGAATCAGGCTGTGCCTACACCATCATGAAACCCACAGCCGCCCCCTGAATCCACCAGGTCCCCATGTCGCGTGTGTCCCTTCTTCATCCCTTCTTCCAAGGGGCAGTGCTGCCCCCCCCCCCCCGAAAAATGCCGCCCTATGCAAATGCCTTGTGGCAAATACACCCCTGGCCCCACCCCCACCTTGATCAAATGTAGCAGTTCCTCTGTTTTGGCTCCTCAAGTCTTTGCTGTCCTGGTCACATCTGTGCAATTTAGCCTCATAGACTTCTATAGGGACCGAGGCCATAGATGGCCCCATAGAAGTGTATGGGGTTGGAGGAACAGGAAGTGATTCTATGGGCAGGACCTCCAGCTAAGAAGCTTTGAAACATATTCACAAAAAAAATTTGTTTCACCTAACAATACCTCTATACAGTGAGGCACCGTGCAAAACATGCTGAAAAATACATGTCAAACTGATATACACTATATTGCCAAAGGTACTGGGACCCCTCCCCCAAATCATGTGATTCAGGTGTTCCAATCTCCTCCCAATCATGTGATTCAGGTGTTACAATCTCCTCCCAATCATGTGATTCAGGTGTTCCAATCCCCTCCCAATCATGTGATTCAGGTGTTCCAATCCCCTCCATATCATGTGATTCAGGTGTTCCAATCCCCTCCCAATCATGTGATTCAGGTGTTCCAATCCCTTCCCAATCATGTGATTCAGGCGTTCCAATCCCCTCCCAGTCATGTGATTCAGGTGTTCCAATCCCCTCCATGGACACAGGTGTATACAATCAAGCCCCTAGACATGCAGACGTCTTCTACAAACATTGGTGAAAGAATGGGTCGCTCTCAGGAGCTCAGTGACTCCAAGCGTGGTCCCGTGATAGGTGGCCACCTGGCCAATAAGTCCATCCGTGACATTTCCTGGCTACTAAATATTCCACGCTCAACTGTTAGTGGGATTATAACAAAGTGGAAGCAACTGGGAACAACAGCCACTCAGCCACCAAGTGGTAGGCCACGTCACATGACAGGGCGGGGTCAGCACATGCTGAAGTGCACAGTGTGCAGAAGTCGCCAACTGTCTGCAGAGTCAATAGCTAAAGACCTCCAAACTTGGTGTGGCCTTCAGATGAGCCCAATAACAGTGCGTAGAGAGCTTCATGGAATGGGTTTCTATGGCCGAGCAGCTGCATCCAAGCCTTCCATCACCAAGTGCAATGCAAAGCGTCGGATGCCGTGGTGTAAAGCATGCCGCCACTGGACTCTAGAGGAGTGGAGACATGTTCTCTGGAGTGACCAATCACGCTTCTCTGTCTGGCAATCCGATGGACGTGTCTTGGTTTGGCTGTTGCCAGGAGAACGGTACTTGCCTGACTGCATTGAACTAAGTGTAAAGTTTGGTGGAGGGGGGATTATGGTGTGGGGGGTGTTTTTCAGGGGTTGGGCTTGGCCCCCTATTTCCAGTGAAGGGAACTCTTAAGGCGACATTTTGGACAATTTCATGCTCCCAACTTTGTCGGAAGAGTTTGGAGATGGCCCCTTCCTGTTCCAACATGACTGCCCACCAGTGCACAAAGCAAGGTCCATAAAGACATGGAGGAGCCAGTTTGGGGTGGAGGAACTTGACTGTCCTGCACAGAGTCCTGACCTCAACCCCATAGAACACCTTTGGGATGAATTAGAGCGGAGACTGCGAGCCAGGCCTCCTCCCCCGACATCAGTGCCTGACCTGACAAATGTGCTTCTGGAAGAATGGTCCAACCTTCCCATAGACACCCTCCTAAACCTTGTGGACGGCCTTCCCAGAAGAGTTGAAGCCGTTATAGCTGCAAAGGGCGGGGCCAACTAAATATTGAACCCTACGGACTAAGACTGGGAGGTCATTAAAGGTCATGTGCGTGTAAAGGGCGGGGCCAACTCAATATTGAACCCTATGGACTGAGACTGGGGGCCATTAAAGGTCATGTTCGTGGAAAGGGCGGGGCCAACTCAATATTGAACCCTATGGACTAAGACTGGGGGCCATTAAAGGTCATGTTCGTGGAAAGGGCGGTGGCCCAATACTGCGGGCAATCTAGTTTCCCATTGAATCTGTAGCACAACAAAACATACTACAGTACAGAAACCCTAGTCAGATTGCAGGGGATGCCTGTTATGTGAACCCACGCTCTCTGCAGACTTCATCAGAGGGGGCCCAGCTCTAGAGAATCCTAAGTACTGCCACCTGCTGCTTGCAGGAATACTTATTTGTTTCAGAAATCTGTGGCTGGTTGCAGATTTAAGTAGGAAAGGTCACTTTTTATTAAGGAAGCAAGTCAAGTAACAATCCTGCACTTTGTATCATTTTTTGAACATTCCTGTAGGTGCCGTCTATTACATTGTATCATTTGGATTCCCATCTGTCACATTGCATCATGTGGACGCCATCCGTTACATTGTATTGCTGTGCTATGGCATTTCCACCGCTAGGGGGAGCTGTGGCTCCAGGTTGATCCCGCGCGGGGAGGCCCTGTATCGTTTGGCATCTCCTGTGGCGCTTCCAGCCACCTGCAGCCTCCCAGCCACAATCTGTGCTGCTGATTTTCCAACCATCTGATCCAACAATCCTCATTCCTGGCGTCCTCCCTGGAGGCTTTTTAGCCTGAGGCCTGGCGTAGCCACAAGGCTCGCAGACTGCGATCGCCAGATTGATGGTGACATTGCGCTGAGACAGCGGTATTACTGCCTGTAGCAGTCAAGTACATAATACGAAGAAGGGACTAAACTGCCTGCAAGTGTGGTGCACCTCACTTTGCCGCTCGGTGCTGCAAGAACCATATTAATTAAAGGGGAACTCCGGACTGAAACCCTTAAAATGGGCAACACGGCTAAATACATCCGTGATGAATCCATGTAAAGACTAAATCTGTTCAGGCCGTATAGTCACAAGGGTGTTAGGCCCCTCTCATACGAGCGGACTGATGGGGTCCGCCTGTCCATTTTTCAGACTGACTCGATTGGTCCATCCATAGACTTCTATGGACCGGCGGGTG